CCTTAGGGGCGGGAGCGTGGCGAAAAGAGCGATAGGAAAAGGGTTTTTTCGAGCTGGGAAGCAGAAGCGCTGCTCTCGGGTTTTGCAGGGAGTGGAGGGGGAGCCGGGCGCGCGCGCGCGCACGGGTAATGAGTGGTAACCAATCTTCTTTCTGAGCCCTCATTGTGTGCCAGGCACCGTGTCGGGCAACCCGGGCGCCTCTCGTTTTACTCCCACAACGACCTGGTGAGGTAGGTTCGGTGGTTTTCCTCTTTTTACAGCGGGCTCCGAGGTCCAGCGGCGGAGGGACACGGTCAGAAGCGGGCGGACGGGGAGGGGCAGGTGTGTGCCTGGACCCTGGTCGCCGGAGCCCTAGTCCCCGAGCCGGCTCCGGGTTCCAGCGCCCCGTGCGGCCCCAGGGCCCTTGCGCCCTCGGAGCACCCCTGGCGCCCGGGGAGGGGCAGCATCCGCCTGGAAAGGCCCTGCTGCGAAGGCGGCGGCCGCATTGGTGCTTGAGCCAGCCTGGGCTTCCAGGGCGACCAGGGCTGGACGTGGGCTTAAGACAAAGGGAAAGGAAGCGTTGGGCTTCCTTGCGGTATGTATCCGCATGGTGTTCTGCCCCCAGAGCTTCTGGAAGACGTATAGGATAAAACGGATACGTGCCAGTGGGCATGGACAGTGTTTCCCTGGTCAGATTTGAAACTCAGGGCACGGTGATGGGAAATTCCCGCCAGCAGGAAGTTAGGCTCTGATATTAGATCCTGAATCATTTCTCTATTTTTTTTTTTTTTTTTAAATGAGAGCAGACTTTAGAGAAAGACCTGCGAGAACATAGTTTAACGTCCTTGTTTTAGAATTGAAGAAAATGAGGTTCCGAGAGATGAGTTTCACATCTCGCCAGCATCGATGGATTAAAATTGGAAGTTGGAACGGCGAGGGTGGTGCTCAGTGACAATATAAATTTGACCTCTGCGGAGCTTGTGCGAGGTGAATTAGGGGCGATTGAGATGCTTTGGAAATCTTAACCCTAGTAGGTAGTTGGGATCGTCTGTGGATGACAGCCTGTCTACTCAGTTCATGATTGAGCATTTACTGTGAGGCTCCTGAGTATACGTAAACGTAGAAGACATTTTCAGAGACTTGAGTGTATATTTTTGTAGTAAAGTTATGTTTTAGTTTTTCGAAAGCGCGTATACTCGCTGGCTTTGTGAAATAATAATAGTTCCTCCGTTGCAGGTCCCAGTCATTACTTCTATCACAGATGTCTCTACTTGAGATAAAACTACAAAAAAAGTTTTGAGACTAATTCACCTGAATTAATTTTGATTGGAATGGCTTTCGGCCGTTTTAAAAAGTTTATCTTTTTTGTTTGTACAGACACTTTAGGATTGGTCTTGATTTTTTGCAGAGAGAACACAGAATTTAATTCTTGTAAGTAAATTTAAAAAACTATGAGGGAGCTTAATATTTGTGTTTCCATTTACCCAATACTTCCCATGTTTCTTTTTAAAAAAATATGTTTGTATTGATATCAGAGAGAGGAAGGGAGAGGGAAAGATAGAAACATTGATGAGAGTCACTGATCTGCTGCCTCCTGCACACCCCCTACTGGGGGTGGAGCCCACAACCCCGGCATGTGCCCTGACCAGGATCCAACGATGACCTGGTTCATAGGACCTCCTGGCTCATAGGTCGATGCTCAAGCACTGAGCCATGCCTGCCTGGCCTTTAAATGTTAATTTTTTTTTAATTTTTAATTTTTTTTTTTTAAATTGATTTCAGAGATTGGAAAGGAGAGGGGGAGAGAGAGAGAAACATCATTTATGAGTCATTGATTGCCTGCCTCCTGCACGCCCCTCACTGGGGATGGATCCCACCACAACCTGGGCACGTGCCCTGACTGGGAATTGAACCATGACCTCCTGGTTCAGAGGTCGATGCTGGACCACTGGGCCATGCGAGCTGGGCTTTCCATGTTTCTTAACAGAAAGTAGCAGTAGACAGAGGGTCGAAATTTTGTAATGAGAAGTTGTACCTATGTTGGTGTTGCAATAAATAACAGATTGCTTTAGAATATAACATTGTTTTATTTGGAACTTGCCTTCCTGTAGCAGTTCCACTTACCTGCCATAGTGATTCCTGTTGAATTAGCATTTTAAGTTATCAAGTGTTAAAACACCATAGTGACCCACATTTAAACTGTTAAGTTTGCCATAATGGGTTTGCTCAGTTGTTAGAGCATTGGCCTGTGGACCAAAGGGTCCCGGGTCTGATTCTGGCCAAGGGCATGCACCTGGATTGCATGCTGGATCCCCGGCCGGGTTGGGGCTGGTGAGGGAGGCAGCCAGTTGGTGTCTCTCTCACATGGATGTTCCTCTTCCTCTCTGAAAAGCCGTGGAAAAATATCTTCGGGTGAGGATAAAAAAATAAGTAAATTCAAGTTTGAGTCCAGCTAATTTATGACTGCTTGAGGTAAAGTGTATCAGTGAAGTTATCTTATGCATTAATTCAGGGCAAATTATGTTACTTTCCCTTCAGATACTTTTTTAAGGAAAAAAACACACTGTTCCTGGCCTCAGGTAAATGGTATCAGTTGGGCAGAAATATGAAAACTGATATTTCACAAATTGGTAGCCCAGCTGATCTCTTGTGCATTCATTTATCGAGAACAAATGAATTGAAGAAAAATTGTAATAATGCAAGACTTGGTTGCCACCTTGATTCCCAGCCAAGTCAGAGGTTACTTTTGTTATTGTTAAATCCTTTGAATATAAGCTTTTGTACCTCTTTTAACTGGTAGAAAAGTAGGCAGTTCTTTGTTCTTTATTTAATTCACTTTGCTCTTCTCAGCTGAGAGTCTGCTAAGGGAACATCAGGAGATTTGGTAATGTTTGTTAGTGACCTACTTTGCAGCAGTTTTCGTAATTTATTTTGTTTTATTTTTTACTTGTTTTAGTACTTTGCATAGAAAATAAAGGGCAGAGGTTAGTTTTAAATTGTTACAGGTTTCTGAATTATATATGGTTTTTAGTAGGATGGGTGGGATAATGTTTAATTAAAAAATGAAATTTAATATAAAGCCTGAATTTGTGACCTAAACCAGTCTTTTTGCCAGTTTAATAAAATTACCCACTTGACCTTTCAGCAAATACTGTTTTTTAAAAATGATATTTCAGAATTTGTATATGCATTGTATGTTCAATTAATTGTGCTTTAAGACTGCTTTGGAGCCCTGGTCAGCGTGGCTCAGTTGGTTGGGCATTTTTCTGTGCACCCAAGAGTTGCCAGTTCCATTCCTGCTCAGGGCACATGTCCAGGTTGGGGTTCTATCCCTGGTAGGGGCAGGCAGGAGGCAGCTGATCAATGTTTCACTCTCACATCTATGTTTCTCTCTCCCTCTCTTCCTCTCTAAAAATCAATTAAAAATCTTAAAAAGCCTACTTTACAGAGGGAGATAATTGTCAGAGTAGGTAGGTTAAAAAACAAAACAAAACTACTCTTTTCCCCACCCCTGGCTAGTCAGTTCTTAATACCTAGTAGGCAAAACCTTCAGTGCAATACTGTCCTTCCATCCATGGAGTTAAATTTAGATTGAGCAACTGTAATCTCACTTGTAGTTGGTGATCACACTGTGGCAGTTAGCCAGGTTTATGTTTTCAAATCTCAAAAATAAGCTTTCTGTTTACTTAAAAATTTTTTAAGTATTCTTGGACACCTTGTTTGGTCTTGATTGGGCAAGCTAAAATGCAAGCCGAGTGATAATGGTGAAGAGCTAGGAATAATTGACGCATGAAGTGTGGGTTTTATAAAGCAGAAAGTAAATATGAAAAAAATTTCACAGGCTGTGGCCTTAGTAAATAAGGTCTTTAGGATAGATTTCCCCTTCTGTCCTATTTCATAATAT